ACGCCATGGCACTCTACCCAGGGGGAAAGCTTGAGGCTCTGTCTCAAAAAAAAAAAAAAAAAAAAAAAAGATTTTTCAAAGTTGCTCAAGTGATCATTCTTATATTTTTGTAATGATGGGGTTGTGAGCATAGTAAAGACTTTTAGGACGGACCTGAGATTGCACACATCATGCAGTCAGGGGCAGTGAATTTTCAGAAACAAAATTTAAAACACAATCAATACAGACAGGCAGTTGAAATTTGCTTTTCACAACCTTGTGGTACTCAGCCATCTTGTCCTAAGTCTATTCTCAGTTGTCTGAGAGCTCAGAGCTCTTGACTAACCTTTTTGTGATTGGTCTCTTATGAAAGATGCAGTGGGGGCAGTTACCATATGGCCAGACAAAATCTTGCTTAAAGGTCATGGAGAATCTTTCATAAGACGGGATGTGCTTCGAACGTGGCTTAAACATTTATTTCAGGGGAGAGAGTTCCTGTCCTCAGAAGGTGGGGATAGAATTTGGATATTTTAAGATGGATGCTGCAGTTCCATGTTTTGATAGGGTAATTCCCCAAATGTTCACCTTTTTTAAAAAAGAAAAAATCTTTAAAGTGTCTTATTTTAGACACTTTACATTTAGAATGTAAGAGTTTGTTATTTCAGAAAGGAAATTATAATTATTATAATTATCAGATGTTAAAAAAAAAGACTCCAGCAGGTACTGGTTTAGGATTAGAATTTAGTATCATTTGTCTTGTGTTTTCATGCATTTCTTTTTTATATATCTTTTTTTTTATTATCTTTTTTTTTTCCAGTTTTTGGCCAGAGGCAGGTTTGAACACACCACCTCCAGTATGTGGGGCCAGGGCCCTACTCCTTGAGCCACATGCACCACCCCTCTTTTTTATATATTTTTGTATACAATTTTTACTTACAGTAAGTGGAAGTAGTATTTAATAATTTCTGGCAAGATATTTAATAATTTCTGGCAGGATATTTTTACTAGGATCAAAGATAGTTCCACCAGGTTGAGGATTAAGTCACAGGGTTGAGAGGTAAGAGTTTGAATCTTGGCTTAGCGCCTATACCTCACGCAGCTAAGGCACCAGCCACATTCACCTGAGCTGGTGGGTTTGAATCCAGCCCGGGCCTGCCAAAACAACAATGACAACTACAACCAAAAAATGGCTGGGTGTTGTGGTGGGCACCTGTAGTCCCAGCTACTTGGGAGCCTGAGGCAAGAGACTCGCTTAAGCCCAATAGTTGGAGGTTGCTGTGAGCTGTGATGTCACGGCACTCTACCCAGGGCGACAGCTTGAGACTGTCTCAAAAAAAACAAAACGAAAAATAACAAACTTTCTGAATCTTAGTTTTTCCTCTGCTAAAATGGAAATGCTGACTCAAAAGACACTCCCCTGCCCCAGAAATAACAGTCTAAAAATTAACATGTCTGCAGTGCTTTCATATTATGAATGGAAGGTCCAAGTGCCAGAACTTAAAAATGACAAAACACACAAACAATAACATCACAATAAAGATGGTTGTTTCATTGCCTTCTTTTATTAACTAATCATAGAATACCGAGGTGGCAGTATTTTCAGTCCCTTAATATTTCAGCTTTTTTTTTTTTTTTT